CCATCCCTGCTTATGATCGGACCTCCCAGGATACAGGTTAATACCAGGAGCAAATTGGTTATGAGTTCAGATGGTTTTGTTAAGTATCACAGTTCTATTTAGAACCGTTGCCTTTACTAAACAACCCTTGAAGAACCGTTTTTTAAGGCTGTAGTGTGTCTGGATTTGGGCTGGGTTTTATAACACAAACTGTGACAGATTCTTGTTTATTCCATCAATTATGCATTTCTTATTCTGTTTTATTAATCATTTTTTCCTCTTTCTCTTTCTTCCCGACTCTTTCTCTCTCTTTTTCGTCGTTCTCTCCGGTGACAGACGGTCCCCTCTGCTCAGTTTAGCCGATATTACACGCTCTAAAACACACTGACTCAGAGAAAAGGGAGAGAGAGAGAGAGAGAGCGAGAGAGAGATTAGCAGCGCTGAGATAGAAGACGTCTGACAGATTAAGAGTAATGGCGATGGCTTATGATTATTAATGCGCGCTGGTCACGTGACGCAGCTTCTTTGTCTGACATTGTTGGCGTTTTCAACACGAAACATCACTCGACTCATTTATCCTTGAACGCCTCTGTCTGCACACAGAGGTTTCTCTATCTCCGAGTGTCATATGAGCTCTTCGTGTTTGGTCCAGTCAATAGCACAGTGTGGTCAATAGCTGTGTCCGCTTCTGTACACTGTGCTGACATTTGATCAAGCAACAACAGATGGCGTTTCATAACAAGCCAGTGCTAATGCTAAGGCGCGAGGCTGTTATTCTGCTCCGCAGAGCGCTGTTGAAGTCGCTCCATGCACGGCTACTGTGTGATGGAGTTGATATCATCATGCTCTGTAAACTCCTCCTTAATATTGTTTGAGGAATCGAGCATCTGCTGTGTCGTTATAACAGTAATAAAGCGTAAATACAGCTTTTAGACATGGACTTCCATCCTTTCTGAGGCTAAACAGGTTTGAATCCCAGTCGAAGATTTGAAACCTACGCCTCCTGCCTTCTTCCAGGCTCCTCCTACTCGCTTGGTTCCCTCCCCTTTATTATCACCACCTGTTTTGCATTACAGCCACATTTACCCTCACCCTCTGGTCTGTGTCCTACTTTGCGAAGTCTCTTACTGTCTACAGTCGAGTTTCCAACACATTTATTGTCTGTTTTCCTACATTCCTGTTGTTTTTCTGGGCCCTGCTTGCTTGTGAATATTTACGAGTTTGCCTTCCTATTAGGCATGTTAGGTTCTTTTCAAGCTCGTTTTTGTGAGCTGTAGCCTGTTCAGCGTTTAAGTTTGGCTGTCCTCCAGACATTTGCTGGCCTGGTCCTGATCTGGGTTGTGTGAACCGGAAATAACGACAGGTTTTCCTTCCATACTGAGCTGTTTCTCCAAATAAAACATGGTATCAAGGAGGGTCTTTAAGCTGTCTGAGTGCTTTCGCTCAACGATAGCTGGTAGTGATTGGAAAATTACTTAATTGGTTAGTGTTTTTTCTCCCCATCTGCTTGTGCACATTGATAAAAATCAGGAGACGTTTTGGAGGCGGGGCAAAAGTCATTATATTTTGATGGAAGATTACAGAAACAATAGAATTGTGTCTTTTAAATGATACAAATCCTGCCTAATATTACCAGGGACATAGACCATTTCTCGTTTAAGTATTTTAATATTTTATACTAACGCTGTTTGCTATCCGGTGTCGACCAGAGGAGGATAGGTTCCCCTTTCGAGTCTCGGTTCCACCCAAGGTTTCTTCCTCTTGCTCTTAGGGAGCTTTTCCATGGGGGCTCGAACCTGGATTTTTCTGAAAAGCTGCTTTGTGACAACACCTGTTGTAAAAAGCGCTATATAAATAAACTTTGACTTGACTTGATAAACTAACAAGGTAGAAGAGGTCCATTTAATTTTTTTTATCTGAAAGTCTGCTTCTCTATGAGGCTAATGAGGCCGATGAAGGTATGAGGATAACGTGGCTAAGAACTAAAGGACTCTTGCAAAATGCATGTCTAACTTATTACATACCTGCCTCAAACAATATAGAGCTCAGTAATTTTAAGTGGACTATAAATGGTCGTTGCCAATCTGATACAGAACTAACAACCACCTTGAAGCTTGCTTTTTGTCCATAATTTTATCTTTTTATTTATTTTTATTTTTTATTTATTTTATTATTTTTTTTTATAGATAAGACTAAGCCAGTGTCAATAACTTTAAAACTGCATAAACTAAACTTTGAGATGTGTATGTTCATTTACTCATGCAGTTATATTGCTGATAATTGGTGTACATAAGCTTCTATTACTTATAAGCTATAGCATATGCAGAAATGGTTCTATAAGTACCAAAAAGGGTTCTTTGGCTTGTAACAACAGTGGAACCTTTTTGGCGGTATATAAAACACATTTTAAAAAGGCTACAACACGTTCTTCATCAAGTTGAAGAACGCTTTCATGACGCAGAGAGCCCTTTAATCATGCAAAGGGTTCTTTGAGTATTCATGGTTCTATATAGGACCATTTCTTTCAATAAAGAACTTTTGAAGAACCGTCTTTTTTAAATGTGTTTATTAGTTATGCACTGGTACATTAGTTTTGCACTGACACCAAACATGTCATATATCCTCAGCTACATTTAGGGTAAAGGCAACATGTTATAAATGTGTTTCTTTTTCCAAGCTTTTCATTTAATAAAGTCTTATCCAGCATATTCAGTGTACTATGTTACAGTTGCACAGATGGGAGGAGGAGCAGCGACACTGTTCCTAATTAATCTGTCCCCTCAGGCTGGATTAGATACTGAGACCACTGCTAGATGTGCTGCTCTGTTGTCTGTGGTGTTTAGCTCAAACTTGTTTCTCGTAGGCTGAGGGCAAAGATATGTCACTGCAATGAAAGTGATTATCCATTGTGCCTGACCTGTGTGTCCGCTTGGCTCCACCTGGTGGCCACTCCCTTTAAAAAGACGCAGCAGGACGTACCTGGGAGCACGTAGTGGTGACTCTGCAGAAATCTGGGTGGATTTGTAACCACTGCATGCGAGCAGTCGTAACTGTTTCTCTCCCTTGTTTCTCAGTCAAGCACCCTCAGTTAGCAGTTATACACGCAGCTTAAACCTAAATTTGACATTTTTAGATTTGCTGCATCATTTCACACAGCAGTTAGGTTTATACATTTTTCAATTGTTTTATTTATATTTTTGAAATGGTTTGGTCAACAGTTCATTTTACACCTATTTATTTTTACTATTTCTTGAATAGTTATTTTTTTTATATAAATATCTTAAGTAATTAATGTCATTTGACAGCAGTTTCTTGTATACATTTTTTTCAATTTTTTTAATTTATATTTTTAAATGTTTTTAAAACAGTTTCTCATTTTACTCATGTATTATTATTATCATTATTATAATTATTACTATTTCTTGAATGCAGTTCTATTTGTTTTTTGATAAATAAATATTTAAATAAATTAAGTAATTAAAAATATGTATCATTTGACACAGCAGTTTCTTTGATACACACTTCAGTTTTTTAATTATATTTTTTAAACGGTTTGTATAACTACAGTTCCTCATTTTCCAAATAATAATAAAAATAATAGGTATTATTATTATTATTATTATTATAATTATTATTATTTCTTGAATGCAGTTCTATTTCTTTGTTTTTTAATTAATATTTTTAGTAATTATTTGTTTTTTTTCAATGGTTTGCTGAGCTACAGTTCCTCATTTTTCTCATTATTTCTTGAATGCGGTTCTGTTTCTTTATGGTTTTTAAAAAAAAATTAAGTAATTAAAAATGTTTTTACTCATCATTACTATCCAGCTTTTTATTTTCTTTCTTTTTATGCTCTTATTTACTTATATTTGTTCTGTTAGGTTGTTTTTGATTGCAATATATCTGTGTAATCTATAATAAAAAGTATACTTTTTTTATGTTTACCCATACAAACAATTTATATTCTGTCCATACTTTGGAATATGCTGACAGAATAAAACAGTATATTTCATTTTCATAGTAAATGGTAAACAGGGTCCTGCTGTAGACAGGGCGTTAATGACGGCGTTAGGCTTGTGCCAGTAATTTTTTCAGTTTCAAGGTAATGAACCAGTGTCGTCCCATTGCTTCAGTAATGTTTTCACAGCTCATGTAGAAAACCACGCTGTCCGAGTGATCTCTCGAATATGTAAAAATGTCCCGGCCACTTTCGCGGCGCTCGACAAAGCTCTGTTCTCCGTCAGTGCCGCCGTCCACCGGGGCTCATATTAATCACAGTATAATTCTGATAGATTTGTTGGCATTATTTTCAGGATGTGGCTTTTCTCTGGAGACTAATCAGTCTGGCGAAGCTTCAAATCTAAAAACGGGGATTGGGTGGGGTGGGGGGATGGCTGAGCTGAGAGAAATGGAGCAGGAAAGAAGGAGTGGAAGGGCAAGAGAGAGAGGGAGAGATGCTGTGGTGACTAATCATTCCCATCTGAGATTCAGAGAGACAGAGGCTCCCTGAGGCAGCCCCTCTGCAACACACACACACACACACACACACACACACACACAAATAGACGCAGTTTACGAACGCCACGTCAGGACCGTTAAAGTAAAGCATGGAGCTGAACACAAGACGTTCATCGACACTGTTCCATGCTGTGCTTATACACACAAACACATGGGTGGTTAATGCATGTTTAAAATGCCATCCCTTGAGTCAGTCTGCTGGGAAAGGTCACTACATGAATAATAAAGCAGCGCAATTTAATAAACCAACTGCGCAGCCTTATTAACAAGGTTGAAAAATACCACCATTGTTGTGCTCTCGTTTCTCAGTGCTGTCTCTCTCTCTCTTTTGGCCTCTCTCTCTTTTAATGCTAATTACTTCTTTCTGCGGATTATAATTAAAAAGCTGATTAAACTCTGTCGAGCCATGCAAGTCCCTGTGGACTTGGGCTGTGTGTGTGAATGTGTGTGTGTGAGGTGATGATTTCAAGACGTTTGTTTTCTGTTTTTCTTGTGGGACACAGGAAGGAATCGTCATGACGACCGAAATGCAGGAGATCGCCATCACGGAGGACAAGCCTTTACTTACGGGTCAGCCGGACGCCGTGAAGGTCAGTTGCGCACATATGTCCCAGTTCACGTACCTCAAGTACCTTAGAAACATCCTCTTTGTCTATTTTATCAGCTCCACTGACCATATAGGAGCTGTTACAGTTACACATTGTAGTCCATCTGTTTCTCTGCATGCTTTGTGACCCTGTTGTTCAATGGTCAGGACCCCCATGGACCCTCACAGAGCAGGTACTATTTGGGTGGTGGATCATTCTCAGCACTGCAGTAACACTGACATGGTGGTGGTGTGTTAGTGTGTGTTGTGCTGGTATGAGTGGATCAGACACAACAGTGCTGCTGGAGTTTTTAAACGCTGTGTCCACTCACTGTCCACTCTATTAGACACTCCTACCTTGTCAGTCCACCTTGTAGATGTAAAGTCAGAGACGATAGCTCATCTGCTGCTGCAGAGTTTGTGTCTGTCATCCTCTAGTCCTTCATCAGTGGTCACAGGACGCTGCCCACAGGACGCGGTTGGCTGGATGTTTTTGGTTGGTGGACTATTCTCAGTCCAGCAGTGACACTGAGGTGTTTAAAAACTCCAGCAGCACTGCTGTGTCTGATCCACTCAGACCAGCACAACACACACTAACACACCACCACCATGTCAGTGTTACTGCAGTGCTGAGAATGATCCACCACCCAAATAGTACCTGCTCTGTGGGGGTCCATGGGGGTCCTGACCACTGAAGAACAGGGTAACAAAGTATGCAGAGAAACAGATGGACGACAGTCTGTAATTGTAGAACTACAAAGTGAAACTATATGATGAGAAGAACACAGGTTTGGTTCTGAACTTCGACAGCGCCACCCATCGTGTGTTTGTTCAAGTCCACCATCAGCTCACCTGATATAATTTAATGAAGCACTGATTGGCCAAATTAGGTATATGATGATAGCTCCATCAATAAAATTGCATATCTGAGTCTAAATTTGTGATTGGTGTTAATCACATTGTGAGAAGCAGAAAATGCAACTAATCTCTAAAGCTTTGGAGGTGTGGAAACATATCCCTGCAGATTTCTTTGAAAAACTGAAAGAATGAAAACAATGGAAGCTGTGATAAAGGCAATGGGTGGCTACACTAAATACTGAAAGTGTGATATTTAGTTATTGTCTGTATATGTATGTAAGTGTCTGTATGTAAGTGAAAATAAGGGAACACATCCTTTACAGAGAACACACTTCTGCACATTTTAATTCATTATTACTGTTTATTTGCTGAATGTAACAAATTGGGGAAACATAAATTGTGGCCTGTGCAAAACATTTTGTATGTATTATTGATTTATCTTTGTTTCAATATGTTACACTTGAGCAGTAAATAGAAAATGGGCACTAAAAAGCAGTATAATGCAGAATTTCTCAGTGCACTGAACTACAGTCGCCAGCATGCACTGCAGCCTAATGTGCTCCGACTCTCCGACCCCAACAGCAATCTACAGGACAGTGGTTACACCTCAATTCTACACAATTCTACACAGTTCCACATCAGTCGTATCATCAAACTAACCAACTAACTGCAGTTCAGCCAATATAAACACCAAACGTCAGCTCAGCAGCCCAAGAATTAATGAACGTGTAGCAAAAAAAGGGTTAAGTCTAAGTTAAGTATATAGGTAGGATTAAAAGACCGAGCTCTTGGGGACATTTAAATTTTGAATGTTTCCAGTATTCATGTAATATTTCAAGGTTTACTACAGGAGTCTGTATTTTACTGTTGAAGTTTCTGTGTATTTTAAATAAAGAATGGTAAATAAACAATAACAATGTTAATTAAAACGAAATAAAACAGATGTTCTCTGGCCCACGGATGGTTGAGATTTTTTAATATGGGCCTTTTAGTGGTTGAGTCTGACACCCCTGCTGAAGAGGATGTGTTAACTTAATTCCACTATTTTCACCCAAACTTTTGCGTACGACTGAATTAGCTATATGAATATAAATGTACAAAAATAAATACACTCTAAATGCATGGAAAGTGCACATGGTTAAACACTATTTCGGAATACTGTGGTGTTTTGTCAAATTTTGTGAAAATGTACATCTGCATATAGGAGCCCACAATACATGTTATAATTCATTTTCTATTAGGCAAAGTTGAAGCTGCTGTCAGAGCCCTATAACTTGTGCTGATCTCCTCCACACAGTAGATCTTGATGAGCTGAGCATTGAACCCTGGTCAGAATGTCCAGTGTAATGATGCAGGGGAAAGAATTTAACATGAATAGGCTACAGAAGATGAAGATGAGTCAATGACTGTCTGTAGATTTTGATTAAAAAAAAAAACACTTAAAATCTTAAAATCTTAACAAAACCTGTCAAAATGCTTTGTGTGGCAGCCCATGTGCTCCATTTGAGGACCTTTTTTACTTCCTGCATATTTAAAAACACCACATTTAGCTTCTGTTTGCATTATATTATAGAACTGCTTGTTCCTGAGGTCTTTATTTCCGCACTAACAGAAGTAGAAATAAGCCCAGCTTTTTTTAGCCGAGGGATTTTTACGTCACGGCGGATGCTGCCATCAGAGCTTTTGTTCGCGTCATCTCTCTGCATAAAGTCACGTGGGGCGCTGGTCTTGGATCATCTGAGGGCTCGAATGATCTTATTCGCGACGAGCTCCGGTGCCAGGATCACAGCTGCCTTATAAGGATGTTCCTGTGCTGCATGTTCTGGGAGATGTCTTGTGCTGCAAAGGACTGGCAGGCTTGTATGGTTTGCAGTGATGCGTATAGATTTTGGTCCTTGTCTGCCTCTCAGGACTCTTAGAGCCACCTGCTGGCGATGTTTAGAACTGAACGGTTCAAGTGAGAAACAAGTGGAGATGCTGTAGAAACTGCTCACTGCATTCAAATAGAAACACAATAATGGCCTTGTATTACAATGTGTGCAGCTTTCGTACACAAAGACTTTGATTTACTTAGATTTTTTTTTTGTTGTATAAATAACAAAAGCTTGTATGTATTTGATGTTTAAGAAAACTTTAAGAAAAGCAAAAAAGCATTCCTAACTTTAGCGTATGACTTCATTACAAGTTATTTTGGACCATTTCTGTTGGTCCATTCATTTTACACAATGTTAATAAGATCTGTTGTTTTCAAATAGTGTTAAAAAGGGCAAAACTGAGATATCATCATTGTGAACAGTAGTGTAGGTGGATGATACTAACCTTTTATGACTTCAAAGGCCCTTATTTCTTCATTCTCATAACTACATAACACTGCAGTGGGGTCCAAAGTCTATGATCATATTGAAAAACTGTTTTTCATTTAAACCTGGAAATAAACAGACATTTAAGATAGTTGAACAATTTAACACGTTAAATTAATGTGTTAATGGGTTAAATCCATGTTAAGGCCAGGGCAGTGTCACATATGGTCAGATTTTTTTTTTAGGCAAGACAAGTGTATTTATATAGCGTATTTATATACACTGCTGTCATTCAAAGTGCTTTACAAATGAGAAAATACAGAGTCAGAAAATACAGAGTTGTTTAAAAAATAAACATGAATAAAAAAAACAAATATAAATTGAAAACAACATTAAGAACATAATAAAATCAAAAATTATTTTTAAAGAGATCAAGTTAGAAATTAATTTAGGAAAAGTAAATAATCAAATTAAAAATTAAAAGTTTTATTAGGATTAAAAAGTCTAAATTCTTTTGCTGAAGCACATTCAGATGACTCTTGGGTGGATTTGATCTACTCATCAGCAGCCTTTGCACAAACTTGAGTCTGTATACTCCAGTGCAGAAGACGTAACAAACACTGAGAAATTCTGAAATTCATGTAAATTTTCCATAGATTCTACTTTTCAGTGTCATTTGTAAAGAAACATGTTACGTTAAATTAGAAGGGCAGCATTCATAAGTCTAGACAACCGTCATAAACAGCCGTTAATAAAGACTTACTTCAACAACTGTCAGTTATCATACAGACTGCTTTTATCAATTTTGACACCTAAATGGTTTTGGAATAAGCCTTTACAAACGTTTGTATAGGATTATGTGAGGTTTGACATAAAAACGGATTGAAAAGGTTAAGTAAAAGTTGTGTAGCCTTATAAACGCTGCCCTTCAGTAAAGTATGATCATTAGCTTCATAGCAGAAGCTGAATGATTTACTGTAGTTACTGAAACTTAAGATTAGTAACTAAATCAACAGCCTGGTTTAAGGGTTAAAGTATTGTGGTTATAAATGGATACAGATGGTCGATGTTGTGTCACTGATGCCTCTTGTGTGTGGTAACTGTGTAATAATGTTGGTGTTGCTGTCTCTGTACAGGAGGCTGAGATTGCGGCCAGAATACTGCTGGACCAGGGACAGGTAAGAGACCGACAGGATGATGTGCTATTTACTTATTTTTTATAAGCAACTTGTATTTCACTGCATGCATTTTACATGTCTGTGTTCTAGGAGCACAGTATCGAGACTCCCCACGGTCTGCTCCATGTTACGCTGCATGGGACAGGAAACATCCGCAGACCGGCCATACTGACCTACCACGATGTAGGAATGGACAGTAAGTGGACACGCACCCAAAACATTTTCACTCTAGTTATAGACTTAAGCAGTGTTTACACTATCACGGCTAAAGCGTGTTGTAATATGTGTGTCATATTGAATCAAAATCTGGCAGACTGCGAGGTTGTATAAAAATTTTTATCAGAGCCAGCTCAGTTTTCTGCATTTTAAGCATGTGTCAAAAATCAGGCTGATCAATCAGAGCTCTATTTTTATGGCCACAGTCAAAGCTACTGTGAATCACAATGGCAGCAGAACAGCTCATCTTACGTCTGGCGGAGCATAAAAGCCTATCTTGCATGTAGACAGTGGAATGTATGGCAGATCATAGCTGAAAGGCTGGGGAATGATATTGAGTATCTTAGTACAGCATATCAACTGTTTACTGTTTTTTTGCTGTATGTGCGTGTGCATGTTAGCTACAGTGTTTTAAAATGAAAATGATGAATTCCTTGTTCCTCCTACTGAAGGAATACTGAATTTTTGTGTCTTTCTCTCACTGTCTCTCTCTCTTTTCCTCTCTCTAAGGTAAGAGTTGCTTCTCCACTTTCTTCAAGTTTGAGGAGATGCAGGAGATTGTGAAGAACTTCACTGTAGTCCATGTGGATGCCCCAGGCCAAGAGGAGGGTGCTGCCCCCTACCCTCTGGGGTATGTATTCAAATCATGCCGATAAGTATTGGTCTACCTTAAATGTACATTTTCCAACATTAAAACTTGTAATATGACAAATACCCCCATAGTTTGATTTCATGTGGTGATTTTGAAGCCTGCCTGTAAACTCCTTAGCTAATGACAGATCGCACCGCTAACCAGTTGGGTAGTTGGGATAAGAGAAACTAGGATGTTATGGTTATAAGTATTAGGTCTTGTAAAGCTATGTAATATACAAATTATTGGTGTGATATACAAAGTGTCAGTGAAGTACACTCTCATGTTACCTGTCAAAACATTACTTCATATGTACAGATAATAAAGAAGAAACCTGAAACATAACAAGCCCAGATACATAGACAGCTGTACTGCATGATTGTTAATAAGTTAACATCCTACCTTGCTCTGGCATGTATAACAATGCTAAGCAGGCCTTGATAACCTCGATTTTGCATCAAGATGGCAAGAGGAAAAGATCTGTAGAACCCAATATTGTAATAACTTCCTATTAATGTAATAAGCCCAAAAATATAAAACAGTGTTGCACTGCACTTGATCAAAATGTTATAAACCACAATGATGTAGTAAGGTATGAAAGTAGTAAGCCGGAAAATGTACAGAATTCCCAGTAGTGTCATAAGACATTACGTTATCAGTAAAAATATGATGACATTATCAGTTAAGATATTGTATTACATTATTGGACTAGTTATTACATTATTAAGTTTTATTACATTTTTGAACAGGTTATGTGTTAAATTTAATTATATTTCTGGGTGTTATTACACACACAAACATTTTCCAAGCCGCTTATCCTTCTGGGTCACCGGGGGAGCTGGAGCCTATCCCAGCAGTCATTGGGTGAAAGGCAGGAAACACCTTGGACAGGTCGCCAGTCCATCACAGGGCAGTCAGACAGACACATACACACCTAGGGGCAATTTAGTGTGTCCAGTTGGCCTGACTGCCTGTCTTTGGACTGTGGGAGGAAACCAGAGAACCTGGAGGAAACCCGTGCAAACTCCACACAGAAAGATCCCGGGCACGGGGTAATCAAACCCAGGCCCTTCTTGCTGTGAGGCAACAGCGCTACCCACTGCCCCACCATACCGCCTGGGTGTTATTACATTATTGGGAAATGATTGGGTTCTACAAAATCTAAGTGACTTCAAAAGAAAGTTCATGCAGGAGCTTCAGCCACAAGAACTTCTCAACTGGCAAATGTTTCGATAAGAGCAATGACTGAAGTGACATCTGCATTTAGATCTGTGGGAAAGACATCAGTAACCTGGATTGGAAACTGTGGTCAGAAGCCCACATTCAATGACAACTACACAGAGTGGGATATTATAGTAGGCGTGCATAAACCCCTCATTACAAATACGAATGCTCATTTGACTGTTCAGTGGTGTAAAATCCATTAGCACTGGTCTGCAGTGATGTGGAAAAAAGTGCTGTGATCGGATTACTGTGGTGTACACCAAGACCGCACAGTGCAGGCCTGAATGCTTGACCAGTGAGGGGGTTCGGTGGATCTATTGTACTGTGGGGGGGATTTTGCTGGCCTGATTTCGCTCCACGTGTCTCCTTAGAGGAAAAGGTCACTGCAAATCAATACAAAGTTATTCGGATTGATTTACCTTCATCATATAATGAAGCATTTCTATCCTGATGGAAGAGGTCTTGTCAAGGATGACAGTGCCCTTGTTCACAGGGCAGTAGGGGTCACTGAATGGTTTGGTGGTGTAACAAGAATGTAAGTTTTATGCATAGATTTCTAGAATCTATGCCAAGGCCCAGTGAAGCGGCTCTGGCAATCCAGCACCTTATTAACTCACTTAATGATGGTTTTTCCTTTAATTTGTCACCTGTCTCAGCTTATGTCCAGAAAATGTACCCTTCCAAATAGTACTTCAGTCAATATTACCTCCCTATTGTATCACTAGAAGAATGAAAGACAGCAGTCAGTCAGCATGGCCTTCTTCTTTCCAGGTACCAATACGCCTCCATGGATCAGCTGGCAGAGATGATTCCAGCTGTCCTGCAATACTTCAAGTGAGTTGATCACCTTGGGATTTTTCCGACCAGTATTGCGATTATGATTTAAAATGCAGTTGTTTATAAAAGAGATGTAAATTGAGGTATGGGCCTTGTTTTTGGCTAAGACGACCAGCGTGTATTTTTTCTGGTTTGAGACTTGAACTGTTAACACAGTGCGCCAGCCTACAAATTGTTTGTGCCTGTGATGTCACAGCAGTTCTTAAGCTCCATTTTATGCGGTAAAACTTCATTGTTTTATTGAATATCAACATTGCTGATAAAAGACTGTAAGACTACAACAAAAATTGCAGCTCTTGCAATTTGAAAATTGCATTCTTCCAAATTGCAATGTAAATATAAAAATAGATTCATCTTTCAGCCCTATTCAAGCCACAGCTATGAGGACGTCTAATACGTACACATCTCATACTGATTAAATTAGAGGAATAGTCCTCACGTTGGCTTTCCAGTGCATTTTGGGTCTTTCTTGGGTTGGAGTTTGACTTTTCTAATGTACTTTACCTCAAAAGAGCTAGTCTGACTGGCCGCAATGGAAACTAGTGGAAATAGAAACTTTCCTCATCATAATACTTACAAACATTAGGTTTGGTGTTATGTTTTTTGTAAAGTTTAATCATGGTTCTATACATTGTACTTAGTTTGTTGGCGTGTAGTTATTACCCTTCATATATTTTAGAATTCACACCTTTCTATAACCTATATAAAAGAGTAGCTCAGCCAGTTTTTACATGCAGTCCACATTGTTACTGAATAATAAGCCTTAGTAGGTAAAAAGCCTTTAAGGGGTTAAACTGCTGCTCTGTGTGTTTCCACTGGTACAGTTTCCGCTCCGTGATTGGTGTTGGTGTTGGAGCAGGAGCTTATGTCCTTTCAAAGTTCACGGTAAGCCTCCCTCTATCTCTCTCTATTTCTTTTTCACTCCCTATCTCTCCTTGTGACAATAGTTTTGTGTAACTCAGTTCTGGGTTTAGTGAGATTTCGTTTCAAATGCAAACAAAATACCAGAGTGTTCAACAATAGTCACGCCTGTGCTTGCATGAGGTATTAATAGCAGAGTGCTGAAGCCAGAATCTGTTGGAATTACTGTAGAATGAAGAATATACTAAGAATATTAACATTTTTCTAAAGAACAATACAAACATGCATTGTTTGGCATTCAGTTATTTAAACTCTCTCTCTCTCTCTCTCTCTCTCTCTCTCTCTCTCTCTCTCTCTCTCTCAGCTGAGTAATCCAGACTCTGTTGAAGGTCTTGTTCTGGTCAACATTGACCCAAATGCTCGTGGCTGGATGGACTGGGCGGCCCAAAAGGTACATAGCTGTCATACTAACATCTAAACATGTTTTTTTTTTTTTTGTGAGGGCTTTGCATAATGATAAACTGCATTCACAGTGTGTGGCCCTGTTGAGCCAGTGAGCAATAAGGATAATGACATACAGCAGAGAGCCAAAGAGCCCATGAGGGGCATATGTATTTATATTTTTTGGAGGGGGAAAGATAAGAGAGAAGAGTTTGAGTATGTAGGGAAGCAGGAAAAAACAGAAGAAAAGAAGAAAAAGAAGCAAGTCTTGCATGATGCAGTCAAAAGGGTGTGTGAGGATGTGAGTGGTCTGCCAGAAGAGGTCAGCTAGAGGAGGACTAGAAGAAATTCCTGGGGGACAAAGATGAAGAGAGTCAGCTCGCCCCCCTGGAGCCTGTGATCCTCTTAAGATTGGGTCTTCATTTATCTGCTGAGGCAGAGGAGGAGGAGGGAGAGAGAGTAAGCGAAAAAAGCACAGGGCGTAAGTATATTATGTGACTGGAGTTGTATACTCATCAGTCTGGGTCCAGGGTGGTGTTTTTCTGTGCAGGTGGTGAAATCACAAGCTACAAGCCACGTGCAGTTCTTTTGCCCTGCATGCAAGCCATGCTGTGTCAACAGTCTAAAGCATGAATACTGAATACTGAAATTCAGGTGACCACTTGAATTAAGCCCCCCGACATTACTCTCGTTGCCTGGAGGGGAGCGTTATGAGGGAATGAAGAGGAGTCGGGCTCGCCACCCGCCAACTCCTCCTGCCACACATCCTATCCTTTAACATTTACTCATGGGTACAGCTTTGCCTCAACACACCTGATTAAAATCTCTGTAAAAATGATCAAACCCTTCGTGAGCTGGGTTAGGTACTAGAGCACAATACACAGTACATGGAACTGTGCAGGGCAGTGGTTCCCCAGGACTGGAGCTGAGGAACAATAGTAATATTCTGAAGTACCGATATCTGTCATCAGTACAAATCAGGCCTTGCACACATTTTTTCAACATCTAAAATGCTGCCAATATTGAACAATGACAGTGGTTTTGAAAAATCTGACGTTTAGGCCAGACCCTGACATGTGAACGTAGCCTTGGTTTTATCTTATGAGGTCATTAATTTTGTTTTTCTCAATCTTTTGTTCCAGATCAGCACACTGACGTCCTCTCTCACCGAGCAGATTCTCAGTCACCTCTTCAGTCAGGTTTGTGTGTGTTTACTCGTGTTTATGGATATTGTGGATATTCAAAGCCTGAGCTGTTATGACGGGAGTGCGTGTATGTACAGGAGGAAACCTCGGGCAACACAGAGCTCGTTCAGTCACACAGAGAGAGAATCTCTAAAGCCCCCAACCTCTCCAACATCGAACTCTTCTGGAAGAACTACAATAGGTACCGTCTTGCGCTTACACTTTTTTTTATTTTTGGGATGTTTTATAGGTATTATATATATATGCACCTAAGCAAAAAAGAAAAGGTTTTGCCCTTTCAGTTTTAAAGAAATATGAAATATGCAGCTTTTGTAAAAGGTTTCCCGACAATAAACACTGTATAATAAAGACTATAAAGATAATATGGGTATGAGTTACTTATAGTGTTTTTTATGATTGGTATACCATCTAAGGATGTGCATTCTGACTAATTTTGATGTTTGAATACCCAGAAGAACTAACAAACAGGTATGTGGTTAACTGCAGAGAAGGAAAAAGAAAAAAGCACCAATGTTAATGCATCTATGTCACACACAAGAAAGGTAAACTGGGGCACTGGTGCCAGTAGGCTAAACAGTCAATAGCACAAAGGAAAACAGGTTACACAGCTGACAAGCTACGCTCCAGGGACACGAAAAAGTCTGATCATGCTCTGTTCCTATCCTTAATGCAGCCATATATGATAATAATAGCTGGTTCTGAAGGGCAGCAACATCAAAATATTAATATATAAAGGATTGTAGGTTTATTTACAGTGATTTTTAGACTCAATGAATGAAATTTAGTTTAAGCAGAAAAGTAATGATTTAAAAGATTACATATTTGGTTTCAGAGCCTCACACATACATTCTCACTTATCTGCAAGTAAATATATTTACTGACCATAGTCATAGACGTACATATGTGCACAGAATTATAACAGTAATATTCTGTCTTAGTCACAAATACAAGTATCATACTTGGCAACCCTGTTTAAAGTGTTTTACTTAATTGTTGGCCTTTATATTTTCGCCCTGAATTTCCATGACTTATAAAAATACTCTAATAGTGATTTCAGTGCTAAGATTTTGTCTTAAATTACTTCGAAGTACTTTTAAGAAAAATCTTACAAAATATTCAGTTTAAGTTTTATATTGAAGTCCACAATTTAAAATACATTATGAAAAAATTCAGTGGTTTTGTTGTCCTTCATGCATAAACAAGCGTTCCTAATCAGCTGCCATTACACAACATTACGGAAAATTTTATGAATAAGCAAAACATCCTTTCCTATAAATGTGGCCACACTTAGTTTAAAACGAAGCAATTCTTTTTAAACCCCTTTTTCTCTCTCTTCTTTCACTTTCAGTCGCAGGGATCTGAACATTGACCGCAACAGCACTCTCAAGTGAGTCTAAGTCTCGTAATAGGGAATAATGAGTCTGTCAGAATGTCATGTAAAAGGAAAAGGTCAAATAATTCAAATGATTATACGGTACAGATTTTTATCATCACCTTCTCTCCTCTATCTTTTCTTTCTTTCTGTGCGCGCAGATGTCCTGTCATGCTGGTGGTAGGGGACCAGGCGCCATATGAGGATGCTGCAGTAAGTAGTTTTGTTTATTCCTATGAATTTTTCACTGCTGCACAGCAGCCTTGGTGTAAGAAAGTCGCTGAGTTTTCTGTTTATTCCACCAGGTGGAGTGCAACAGCAAACTGGACCCAACTACAACCTCATTCCTGAAGGTAGTGCGCATGTGCCACGTGCTGCTTCCTGAAACAGCCAAGCTTGTAAAGCAGCGATTTACTGAAAAATGCAGTTTTTCCCCAAAATACAGTCCAAGACATATTTGATGTCCACAATTTGCTGCTTTAGTCAGTGGGACTTTGCACTGGGAATAAAATGCCAGTATAAAAGTCTGTGACCCAGAAAGGTTTTAAGTCTCAAGGACTTCCATTACTTTTTAGCTACATCAGCCTCATAACTTGCTTATTTTATTACTTCTTAATTATATTTATGTGTACCAGGCACTTTATTTTATAGCTTGTCAAAAAGAGTTCATGATAGAAATTTACAGAGCCCAGCTGGTGAAATCCCATATAAATAAAAATACTGCATGGTCACGCCTTATTAATGTGTGGGAACGAGATCATAATCCATGGCCATGAATTAGTAAGGTGTGGAAATCAGATAATTAAGTTGTGGCCACCACTTAGTAAGGCGTGGGAACGAGATCATGCCTTACTAAATCATGGCCACATATTAGGATCTCGTTCCCACGCCTTACGAAGTTGTGGCCACAACTTATCTTGTTCCCATGCCTTACTAAGTCGTGGCCACACATTAGGATCTCATTTCCACACCTTACTAAGTCATGGCCACACATTAGGATCTTGTTCCCACGCCTTACTAAGTGATGGCCACGACTTGTCTTGTTCCCATGCCTTACTAAGTCATGGAAACACACTAGGATCTCATTCCCATGCCTGACTAAGTTGTGGCCACATTTTAGGATCTCGTTCCCACGGCTTACGAAGTTGTGGCCACGACTTATCTTGTTCTCATGCCTTACTAAGTCATGGCCACACATTAGAATCCCGTTCCCGCGCCTTACTAAGTCATGGCCACACATTAGGATCTCATTTCCACACCTTACTAAGTCATGGCCACACATTAGGATCTTGTTCCCACGCCTTACTAAGTGATGGCCACGACTTATCTTGTTCCCATGCCTTACTAAGTCATGGAAACACACTAGGATCTTGTTCTTATGCCTTACTAAGTCATGGCCACACATTAGAATCCCGTTCCCACGCCTTACTAAGTCGTGGCCACACATTAGGATCTTGTTCCCATGCCTAAGTTGTGGCCACATTTTAGGATCTCATTTCCACACCTTACGAAGTTGTGGCCACAACTTATCTTGTTCCCATGCCTTACTAAGTCGTGGCCACATATTATTTTTATTTATACAGGATGTCACCAGCAGGGCTCCGTAGAAATGTAATAAATTAATAAATTATTATATTTGGGGTTTGTATGTTTTAATTACCGTTTTTTCTCTGCGTCCCTCATCATTTTCCGCAGATGGCTGATGCTGGCGGGATGCCACAGCTCACTCAGGTAACAAATCGCCATAGAACTTTTCCAAATTGAGTTGTTTTTTCAGTTGAACTGCTCATGATGTGAATAATGAATGAATAATTATAAGGATGGGATCATTTAGCATTCTTTTTGGATTTTTCTCCTGCAGCCCAGCAAGCTGACTGAGGCTTTCAAGTACTTCATCCAGGGAATGGGATACAGTAAGTAGCCCACAATGGCTTGAAAATTTTTTATGGCCTGCAGAAAGCAATATCCATTAGGAAGAGATAAGCCACGATTTATGGCGCATAGCATTGCGCTAATGTTTGCTGATCTAATTTATTACGGCTTCTGTTCCTCTGATAGAGCAGATATTATGCAATGTTATCGCCATCATGGTTTATTACATCACTGTGCACTTCACTGAGTATATCATGAGCTCCATCAGTACTTTTAGAGCAGCGGACAACTGTATCATAACGTGCGTCATGAAAAACGTAAACAACAACCAGTTGCTGTTGTCGGAAGAAAACTTTATCTCCAAACAGGTGCCTTTACAAGAGAAGCAAAAACATGCTTTACTTTTAATGTAAGTCAATGTAATTAGACCTTTTTTTCCAAGTAAGTTTGGGCCATTTCTTTTGGTGCATTCATAATAAAATGTACACACTATTTAAACGGCAACAGACGTTTTTAACTTATGTAAAAAACTGAAAAATGACAAAGAAGGGGTTGCAAGGTTTTGTTCCGACATCAGCGAAACGGAACGTACATAAGTTGTAAAGTAAGCAAGAAATTGATGGTATGTTGGCCTGTTATGCCTTTGTTTTAGTTTATTTTGGCTACTTGTTTTAATTTTTATCCTTCTGTTTCTTCGTAAATAGTTTATTCGCTGCCCCCATTTCCCCCTTCCCCAAACAAAAAAAAAAAAATACGTATTGTAAAATAGTATATATCTTCAAGTATTGTGATATATTTTTACCATTATCACCCAGCATTGCATTCTGGTCTTATTACCACTGAATCTTCTGTTTCCAGCACTAACGCATGCTCTTTTTTCTCTTTCTCTCATTTATCCTCCATCAGTGGCTTCGTCCTGCATGACCCGCCTGTCTCGCTCGCGCACCGCCTCCCTCTCTTCCTCCTACTCCATCGAGGGCTCTCGCTCACGGTCCCGCACCCTCTCCCAGGGCTCGCAGGGCGGAAACCTGCCCCCTAGCCCCTCCAACACCATGGAGGTGTCCTGCTGAAAAGGGAGAGAGAGAGAGAGAGAGAGAGAGAGAGGTGGATGGATGGATGGATGAAGGTGGAGGCACTGCTATGAGAAAGTCAAAACAAATCAGTCATATCCGTTCGTCAAAAGTACCATGTAAAGTGAGCAAGAAAGAGAGGGCGAGTGACCTACACAGAGAGAGAGAAAAGAGAAACGCAGAGAATCTCCTCTTACCAAACTTAATCTCATTCTCATCATACGATTCGTTCATCTCGTACGTTGGGGGAAAGCGAGAGCAGAGAGGTTCGCGGGGGAGTGAGAGCAAACGGCCGCGAGAAGCGACGTGGGGAGTGAAGGAGAGAAGAAAGCACCGTCTCTCCTTCCCTCTGTCAACCCGTCTGCCAGACGTTAGAGCCCTTTAACCTCTGCGGCACGGGCAGGGCCTGTAGAGAGATCCAAATGTAGTGTTAACCAATAGTAATACTTCTAATATGAATATTAATTATGATTATATATATAAATAATGACAATAACAATAATGTAATAAAAAATAACAAATCTCTTAATTACATGTTGACAAAAAAATAGAGAAAAAAATGGATAATAGAGTAGAAATACTCATAATGTGTGTATGTCAACTTCTTTTTGAATACTCTTTGGTGTTTTCTTTTTCTTTTCTTCACATTATTTGTAATTTTGTATTCTTTAATTTTTCCAATCCTGCTGCTGAGATGAAGGCAGAGTATTATGGTCTTTACTTACCGGTCGTGTGGGCCTCGTGTGGCAACAGGTCTCGGCTGAATACTGGTGTCTTTCAGTGGCAGCCAGCTCATGTCTTCCATTTGCCCTGTTTAGAAGGAAGCAAAAAAGAGGGTGGGTAAAGTAAATGCTGTAACTAATAATTCTTAGTTGGTTTCAGGAAAGAATGGGACGTTGGTATGTTTGCCTGCTCTAAACTGCATGCCTGAATTCTTTCGCCCTTGTCAAGCTAAGCGTGTTTTTCTTTCTTTTCGATGACGTGTGAGCATATGGATCATGGATGTGTTGAGTTGTATAAGGACAAAAGAGCAACATGGGTAAAGGTTTTGATTCTTCAGACTTCGTAGAGCTCTATACTGTGCTTCTGTTCTAGGCTGCCATTCCATTTTCAGCCAGTAGGGGTCACTAAGTTGGTCATCATTGGTTTGAGTGGCCAGGTAAACACTTTTATTGCTCTCAGCCAGCCCCTACCACTCGTAACTTGCTGGGCAGAAGGATGGTCTGTCTAAATCATGAACAAAGTTTGAATAAACACCCATCTCTAAGCTAATCCCTAAATTTATGATGGAGCTAAACCAATCACAGGTCCTACACTTTTGCAAATAAATGCCTGAGAACTCCAGAGCTAATGAACCACATTACATTTAGCAACTGATCCTTTTTCACCTACAGATTTTTCTTTTCTTCCTTTTTGATTTCTTTCTGTTTTGTTGGGACTGTGGCCTCCACCACTGACCCACTGTGAGCTAATTCTCTGCTAAGCCACATGTAACAAAATAATTCATGTTTCATGTCATCCAATTCATTTTTTTTTAGATAATCTGTCACTGATTCTGCTGCTATTAGATCAATATCGCTCATAGATTTCTCTGGGCAGAACAGAGAGTCAGTCTGAATCATGAACAAAGTTTGAACTTGTGGTAAATTGTAAGCAAATCACTTTGTGATGGTAAACTAACTGCTAAGCTGATCATAAGTCCTACAATTTCTCAAATAAATCCCCTAAAACGTCAGTGGTTACTGCTCCTTTTTTAGCAGACATTTTTCTTTTTCTTACCTCTGTTTTCTTAGAGATGCCGCCATCACAGACTCTCCATGGCTAAGCTATTTCACTGCTAGCAACACATAATAAAATAAATTACCCTTTTTTATCATATGTCACTGATTCCGCTGCTATTAAACCATTATCACTCACATTTCTCTGGACAGAACAGAAGGTCTGTCTGAATTATAAACACAGTTTGAACATGTGGTAAATTTTAAGCTAATCACTTTGTGATGGTATGCTAACTCTTAAGCTAATCACATACGTTGTTCGTTTGCTCAAATGCCTGAAAGCTTCAGTTGTTATGAACCATGTTACATTTGACAGTTAACACACATTTTTCTTTTTCTTTCTTTTTTTTCTTTGTGTTTTGTTGGGGACACAGCTTCCTCCTTCATTGCTAATTCGCTAAGCAGCTGCTAGCCACATGTAACCGAACAACAAAATAATGAAGAAATAAATCTTATCATATTTCAGTCGTTCTGAGTTCAGATCATTAGTGATAGAATGTTCTGGACAGTAAAGAGAGTGAAAGATTGAACATGTGGTAAATTTTAAGCTAATCCCTTTGCGAAACTATGCTAACTCTGAGCTAATTCCTGTATATAGAGGGTAAACAGACTTGGCGTTGAAGTGCGCGACACATATATTAGCCTCGAAAGCACAACTGGAGGGAGTCACTCCTAACAATGATGACTAGCATTTCAACCTATAAGGCCAACGAATCCTTTGCTGCCAAAATCCCCTTTCGCTTGCTAACCAGCCCCTACACTGCCAACAGGTTGTAGCTACTTAGCGCTTAACCTAAAAGCCTCTTTCTCTTCACGGATAATCAGCTGCTGATATCAATAGCAAATTGGCATTGGTGGTCTCTGTCCCAGCTCCAAAGGTACTGCCTGATATCCTAATAAATTAGCCTGTTTTCCAAGATGACTGTGACTAGCCAAATGACTAGCCAGTAAAATCTGAGACCAGTACTGTTTATGATTTGCAACAACGCCATAAATGTGTTGTAGAAGCCATTATATTCAGCATAGCACTGCCCTGAAACATCGACCCTGTCGGACAATGGTGAAATGACTTTGCCGGGGATCCCGTCCAAGACTTTAGTGTTTGACGAGCTCGTTCTTGTGCTTATGTGTCCAGTTAGCTTGTGAACTGTCTTTATAGGAGTCCTTTCCTTTGTCCACTTTAGTGTTTGAGGTTGGAGCAGAAGAACGTTGACTGTTGACGTGAGTGGGCCGGGCACAAGGTATCGTTTGAGTCCGTCACTATAGGAACGCGCCTTCAATAAAGAATGCAGTTACAGCGCTTAAATACCAGATGATGACGTTGACTCCTCTCTGATTTCCATTTCTAATTAGTCTCTACCAAAAAAAGGGAAAAAGGGGGTCGGATATAGTTTAAAAAAAAACAAGAAGGGACAAAGTGTCAAAGTTGGGGGCGGAGCTGAGTGAATGTAAATGCTCGTCCTCTTGTTTTTTATTTTACTCCTTTTCTCTGCAGTCATACCGATTTTTAATCGTTTTTTTTTCTGTTGTGCTAGGTTACTGTCTCAGTGTTCTCACAGGTTAGACATCAGTGTGCTAGTTGTTGTGTAATCTTTTCTAGCATTAGTATTTAAAAAAAGGGGGATATTAATATTATTAACAAAAAAAAGAAGTTTAAAAATGTATAACAATACAATCAAAATTCCTTGTGTGGCTAATTCTGTGTAATACGATGAACAGCTGAAAAAAAAATAATAAAAGGGATACAAATCATTTTCGCTTGCTGTTGTTTATTGCAAATTAGGGCTGGGACCACTTACCGAATTACTGATATTTATGACAATGAATTAAAAAAGTGGAATTTTTTTAATTCATTGTCATTTTTAATTCATTGTCCATTTTTCCACACTGTTTAATTTTCAGTCGTCGTGAGTCGATATTTAAGGCATTAACACACTGAAATCTTCACATTAAGTCCGATGCTCTTTCTGTAACATTAAAAACGTGGGGAAAAATGGTAAAGAGCAAAAAGAAATTGATTTATCAAGCAGTAACTGTGAAAAAGTGATCATTTTTCTTTTAGCCAGCAGGCTCAAAGATGCAGATGTGTCATTACACAAGATTGGTGCCAGACAGACACGCTAATTAAAATTTTCATTAAGTCAATAAATTATATCTTTTTTTGTCTTTTTGTGGGGTTTGTGAACCCCTGGCCAGATTACATCCTTTAAAATAGAAAACAATAGAAAAAATAAAATAGGAATTGTGGCATGCATAATTTTGGGCCCTTCCAGTTATAAAGTCTCTAACCTTCTTTTCACTTAAATAAATAAATATAAAATAAAATAAAACAATAATTTGGCCAAACATAATTATATGTAACAAAGTCCAACACTGACCCTTAACAACCAAACATAAATATTTTTGCCCTTTCAATTTTAACCAATGAATCGATGTGTAGCTTTTGTAAAAAGCACTTAAAGTCAGAGTCATTTGGTTGGTCTTAAGACGTTTGGTTGTTTCATCTGTTTGTCTGTTTTCTTACCAATTTAGGACATTTTTGTCTTGAAGCTGTAAAAAAAAAAACAAACACACCATGAGCCAAATTCATAAAACGCACAGTCTTATGTACCTTGATGTTGAGCCAGTGGCATCACACTAACAAATCAGCAAGTGCCATTTGACCAGGGTGCCCAAATGTTTGCATACAACTGTATGTATCATTTTACTATCAAACTATCAAAGTTTTATAACAGTTTTTGAACAGTAAATTACATGACCTTTGTGTGAATGTTGCAAAAAATTGTTGAAATATGTTGAATAGAGGCAAAATTTGCCAACTTGTGAAATAGTTCCTCTAAAGGCTTTAAGGTATCATGTCATTTAATGTGAAAATATATAATTTTTTATGGCTAAATAAGTTCAAATAGGTCCAAAGCAAAACCCGATGACTCTTTATTCAGTTAATTTTGTGTTAATTTGGAAACATACATCAGAGCAGGGCAAAGGTTTAATGTTAATTTAATTTATTCCTATTTAAGATTGAGCTTCAGTAGCTGCCTATAGGCACATAAAAATTCCTGTATTCTTAATAAAAACTACCCCTTTTTTTACTTGCAATACATCATATTACATCATATAAATGAAGTTCATATATGAAAAAAACACATTAGCAGATTTTAGTTCCTTATATATTGTGTCAGATGGACAAAAATGGCACTCTTTTCAATAGAATGACTCAGACATGCAACACGAGGAGCTCCATTAGCACACACGAGTTGCTTCAGCTCAGAGCTCCGAGCATTAAAATGAAAGAACAAACTACAGGAGCAGCCAAGAGCTTTGATATGATATACAGCATTAGTGTCAATACAGTGCTGTGCCAAAGTCAGAGACCACCATTTCGCTGTTGTCGGAAGAAAACTTTGTATCTACATTTTTGTCGTTTTTCAGTTTTTGACATAATTTGAAAATGCCTGTTGCCCTTTACACTGTGTGTAAAATTTAATGAAGAATGGACCAAAAGAAACAGCCCAAAATTACTTGGAAAGATGTCTGGTTTCACTGACTCACATTAAAAGTAAACGTTTCTCATAGAAATCTGCAGGGATATTATTCTTACACCTCCAAAGTTCCGTCTTAGTAGTTGGTTGTATTTACTTGATCCTTAATGGCTGTTTTGGTTGGAAACACAGTAAATGAATCGTGGTCTGACTTGAGCACGGTACTGTGTGAATGACTTAAGTTTCTTAAAAATTCTGAACTAAATGGAAACTATTAACTAGAAACTTTAACCCCTTTAATGGCCAGATCCCAAAGTTTTATTACACACGTCTCTGATCTAAGAATAGCTCAGTCGGTTTACACTGAAGCCCCTGTAGTTATTGACTAATAAGCCTGGGATTTCAAGAGGTTAAACCGCCCATAGTTTTAACAAAGAAGTCCCAGCTCTGTTGCTAGGTGTGACTAATTGTCTGCAGTTGCTTTTCCACCTGTACATATGAACTAAACTGACCTCCTCATTTGTGCACCAGTATTTTTCTCCTCATGCTTATTCATCCTTGTTTTGGGTTGCTAGCTGACGAAAGCCCCATGAAAAATAGCTCAAAACAATGCACTTGCCTCGGAAGTGTCGGAGGCCCTAATCCGAATGCTCTGTCAAACCCTGTGATTATCAAGCGCGTCAGCACATGTTCATGGGGGGTCAGTAACAATGTTGCTAAAGCCATGGACAACCTCCTGTCCATCACTAGGATCACATACTGCACCATTGTTTATAAGGACTCCCTGGAGACACATCTCTCTGACTGGAGAAAGTCTGGGGCCTGGAGACTGATGCAGTTCTTATTGACAACTCTCAGCAGCCAGACACACAGGGAGCTTAGCTGGGCCAGGGATCAATAGCAGTATTGATTCTAGCATTTCTGATTGTTTAATTGCTGATAACAGTGACAGAACCAAAGTATAATAGCTCTAGTTATCATTTAACATAGAAACGAGTTAACGAATGTACTGTTAGGCCTTGGTAGTAGGTTTTGTAAGGGAGTCTAGCTTTTGTAAGGGGGGAATGTTTTGTATTTCCTAAAGAAACTTTTTGTATTTAAAGAAACTGAAAGGTTCTCACTGGAAGGCTGCATCAACCTGAAGACAAGAGAAAGGTAAAAACCAAATCTGTGAAAAAATATAACTTTATTATAAGCTGATTAGTTCAGTTAAGAGCTACTGTACATTCAAAAGCATGCTTTGTCTTTCTACTGCGGCATTTTATATATATTATGTTGTCGGAAGAAAACCTCATATCTCCATTTTTGTCGTTTTTCATTTTTTGACATAATATGAAAATACTGTTACCCTTTATATTGTGTATGAATTTCATGATCAATGGACTAAAAGAAATGGCCCAAAATGACTTGGAAAGATGTTTTTGTTCTTCACATTGTGTGTAAATTAATGATTTCATAAAATCATGATTAATGGACCAGAAGAAACAGCCCAAAATGACTTGGTGGAGTCTGGTTCCATTGACATTAAAAGTAAAGAAGGTTTTTTCCTTCTCCTGTAAAGTTACCATTTTGGAGATACGAGGTTTTCTTCCGACAACAGCGACATAAAACTCAGAAGTTAAGTGTAGGTTTACTGGTGCTTTTGGATAGTAAATAAAATGGCTATATTTGTGTTGGAAGACATTGTATTCTCTGGTTTCTATCACCACCACTGTAAAGAAATCAGTAAGTTTCCACCTGAACTCCAAATTCCCCTTTAAGACCTGCATCACTTCGTTAATATTGTACAGCTGTGAGAAGGAGGAACTGATTTGCTGGAAGCTTATGTTGCTGGCATTTCGAGTTCCTGAATAGCTGCACTTCATGTTTTTTCACTTTGTTCACTGGGCTGGATTTGACTATGACTATTTGAATTTGACTATGACTTCCTCCAGTATTTCTGTTCCTCGGTGTCCTCAAGTATTCATATAACCATTCATCTGTTTCCATTCTGTCAACACATCTCGTGCTGCGCTGTCGAAGATGGAGCGCTGGAGATTTCCTGTCATTCTTCTCCTGGTCAGCACAGCTCGGATGGCCGCAGCCACTACAACAGATTTAAGCGTTACTTCAGGGTCCGTTACAACTACTGGCAGCTCTTTACCAAGCACAGATACAGCCTCAAGTGTTGGGACTACACCACTGGCTTCATCTGCTGCTACAGGTACTTCTGGAACCACAGGTGCTTCTGGAACCTCTGCAACTTCTGGAACCACAGCTCCAACCGGGGCTACGACTGTTCTTGGAACCTCTGCAACTTCTGGAACCACCATGGTTTCAGCCACTCAGACAACAGGCATCAGCGGAACGACTTCATCCACTGCCTCCGTAACCACATCATCTGCTACAGCGGCCAGCACCACGTCAGGCCCAACAACAACAGCTTCTCAAACCAGTAGGGTGTCCACGATGGCTTCCTCCAACCAAGCCTCCTCCAACCAAGCCACCTCCAGCAGTTTGGCTGCATCAGCAAGCAACAGCACCACGAACACCACAACCGTAATCACTGGCAATGGGAATTCAACCTCCGCATCCTCCCTCCCGCACTGCAGTCAGCTTCTCTCTGCAGGTGAGGAATGTTTAATTATGTAAAGCTTTGAATGATTATCACTCAAATGTGTCAAGTGAACAAAATGGGTTACGTCACATGCAAAACACTTAATCATCCCTATTTGTATGCCAAATGTCAAAGAGATGTCAGTAATCTAACGGAAACGGATATCAACAAATATTTCTTGGGAAATTGTCATTGTGGAGTTGGCGATAGGACAGAAACTGTGCAGTGTTATCTTGTTTAGCCTGCAGGAGCTTCACAGTGACTGCCAATCGTATGAAAATAGAGCCAATATGAAGGAAAGAACAAAAATTATTGTTGCGCTCCGTAAAAATTAGATTGCTACAGGTGCATGAAGGAAAAAAAAACCTGAATTAAATAAAGTAGAAACAGTATTGCTCGCACACTGTTAAAGTCAGACAAGTCTAGCAAACATATACATTTTTATTTCATTAAATAAAGTACAAAAAACAGACACAAACCCAATATGAAGAAAAGAGACAAGACGGCCTCATGACATTTTAGCCGATGATTAACAGTTTAATTCAATATTTTGTTCATTGTATGCAACTATTGAAGTATCAAAGCCTAAATGCCAAATTACTGTTTTGATGGACCATTTTGTCCATGTGCAACCACTTTTCACCTTTTTGAAACTTTTTTCAGTGTAAATGAATATTTTTAACACAAAAACTTTTTTTTTGATATTTTACAGCATATACCTACGCAAATGTTACATATTTGTAAAACCGAACAACTTTGACCCATTCATGTTTGCTAGCCTGCTAGTTTCACAGTAGTAATAATGCTAGCATCATTAACATTTTAATCCATGTGCATCTACTTCAGTGTAACTATTTCTTTTCAAACACATGAAAGATTGAATATGAAAATGATGTATTTGTGATAACATACATACCTTCACCCTTCCATGTGTGCTAGCTTGCTAGCTTTCCAGTAGTGATAATGCTACGGATGCAGCAAGGTGTTTTAAGTTGGGGGTGCTGAAATTTGAGGCAGTATGTTAGTGATGTCATACAAAGTTAATTGCCTTTTTTGCTTCATTTGATTTTTATTGGCAATTTACATCAAACATGAATGTCTGAATGTGCTCTACCATGATAAGACGAGTGCTTATAACTGACACCGCACTCTGTTGCTCACTGTGTTGTCTTCTTCTGGACAAACTTTATGCAAATGAGCTGGGCAATGACCAATCAGATTGTTGATCTGTGCCTTGGTAACCAATTACGTCACACCCATAGACAAACTACACACAAAGCAGGTGATGACATGGGTGGAAAAAAAACAACCGATGTATTGAAAGTGTGGGACGTTATTACCTTATAGATTATTTTTAAGCTTAAAAAACAAAATTAGGCCACTTTGGGGCTCAGAACTAGCATTTAGTGGCATCCGCCTCCAGAGCTGCCGATCATTATTGGGAGGAAAAGCATTTGTTCGCTTTTGTCAGAACAAAACCTTGTATTTCCAAAATGGAAATGGAAAAAACTTACTTTTAATGTAAGTCAATGGAACCAGACGTCTTTCCAAGCCATTTTAGGTCATTTCTTTTTGTCCGTTCATCATGAAATACAAGGTTTTTTTCCGACAGCAGCGATATGCATACGTGAAATTGTAAATTTCTTTAAACATTTCAAAAACTATATATATGTATATATAACTATATATATATACATATTTGTGTTGCAGGTTCCCTGGTGTTCATGCTGTGGTTCATGCCGTGACGAGAGCAGCCAGTTCAGTGAAGCACACCACCACTTAACTGTGATCAGTAACAATAAAAAATAAAAAGCAGTCTTTTTCTTGTAAATTAAAATTTTACATTCTTATTAAAAACAGTTGTTTTCTTTAAAAATAAAAGCATCTTTGAAATGTAAGTCTTGTTCTTTATTTTTAACCTTGTAAATGTTACAATATTCTGCTGAAAACACTCTTAATCTCTGCAGGATTCAGACCATTAAAGGGGATTTTTCAAATTTCTGGCATGATTAAATGGTTAAACAGTCTTTCTCAGTGGTTCGGTGTAAAATGCTCTGTTCTAGGGAAACTTACCAACTCAGATGTCTTTACAGTGGTGGTGATAGGAACCAGGGGTCGCCATGACTACAACACAAACATAGACATTTTATTTACTATCAAGAACCACCAGTGAACCAACATGTAATTTTTTCTATGTAATGCTGAGGATGGTAGAATAGTAATGAATCAGAAATAATAAGTTTTCTTTGGGGTCTGTTTTGCCTTAGAACACCCTTCATGTATCCCTCCACCATGAAAGGATTAAAGCAATTCTGACTCGGTAAGTTTCTCTAGAACGGAGCGTTTCACACCAAACCGCTCTGAATGACTCTGTTTACATCTCAACCATTTAATTATGTAGAAATTTAGAAAAATTTAGAAATATTTTTTTTGTTCAAGTGACTGTTTCAGTTGTAACCCTTGACCTGTATGTGTGTAATAGTGTAAAATAGTTGTATTTAAAAGACTTATCTGGTTCATTCTACAGAAATGTCTGCTGCTTTATCTTTCCATAGGAGTCACTGGTGTTACTGATCCTCATTGGTGTTACACATAATAAAGGGAACACCAGAGACATTTTTAATGAAAACTGCATTTTACAGAATGGCTGCTACAGAGCATCAAACCACATGTTGTCAATCATGGAATATCCACTAAAATATGGAATTTAATCCATTTGCATTCTATTTTTTCACAATTACATAAGAATAAAGTCGGTCACACCAGTGACTTCAGCTAAAAGCTTCATATGAAATCATGAGCTAAATGAGAAAATCTCTTATAACTGAAAGACACAGTGGACTCACCGTGTGCTTTTCTTCATAGATCCTCAGAAAACAGATAAAAGGAAGTCGAGAGATGTCATCAGTGTGACTTTTATTTCAAAATAGATTTTTTGTTACGTGATAACACCAGCGACACGACTCCTGGGGAACTTTCATTATATATTTTATAATATTTATTTGGCATTTATTTTCTTTGTCATTTAATTCATATGTTTCGTAGTTGTGTATAGATTATTGCTGTTAAAATTGCAGAAAAACATGTTATTTACTTTAAAATATGGCCTCAGCCTTTACACACGACTGTGAGGACGAGCTCTGTGGTGCTTGGAATTCTTGGAACTTTTATTATTAGAATTAATTGAATTATCCTTTAGAATTAAACCAGCTGTTTTTGTTACTGTGCCTTTAACTCTGATGTATGTAAAATGAGCTCTGCTCTGATTGGCTGGCCTGTGTTGTACATCATTCAGAAAGCAGTCCAGTCTGAAACCCTCTTTGTAACTTCAGTGTGAAGGGGCAGACCTAAACTGCTCTAGACCCCCTGCTGAAAAAAGACCTTCAGAACTATTAGGATTAAAATCTGATAGTTTTGCTTTCTAATGGATATTGGCTTAGTATTTACCATTAGAGATCACTAGTTTCCTGTAGGATGCATGTAGATCCAATTAAGAAACCATCGAGTCCTTTACACTGGGATATCAGCCCATCAGGAAAACACTAAATACCACTGGAGGCTATTAGACACCACCAGGAACCAGCAGATGGTTTCTAGGATTTTTTTCAGCAGATGTATGTAAATGTATGATTTGTAATGTAATGTCATCACAAAAAATGACTATGGACCGGAGAGCAAACAGTGTGCACAACCTGCATCAATCTCTTATTTAACAATGAGAGAAAATGCTGTTTTCCATGTTATAATCCCTTTAATAGTCATAGTCAATTACGTTCCCGAAAAAAAGAGTTTTGGCGCCACCTGCTGGTTCGCTCAGCATAATGCAGCCTCATTGTGAGAACGCTAAGCAGAGTGGATTGAGGAGGCTGCTGTGGGTGAGTCCTGCTCCTGACAGTGACCCAAATAAAACTGAAATAACAGAGTAAAGTGCAGGAATATTTCCTATTCGCTTCTATATTCAAACGTACCACCAGTTAGAGACGAAAATAAAGAAGTTTACCTGATCAGAAAGCTGTTTCACCCGTTTTACTGTTGGAGTCAACGTACACGAGGCTACGCCATCATTAGCTTGTTATGTTTAGACAGATAAGCCGACTAAATTTCGAAGGAAACTGCACTTTGTGGTTGCCTTACTCTTTGCAGGTAAGTTAGATCATATTTTTTTGCATTTATTATTTTATTTATGCTCTCATGTGCCGTACAGCTCCAGTTTTACCGATAAAATCGGCGTGTGTACAAGCTATCAGGCTAGGGAGCTAATGCTATTGTTCGTGTTCACCACCAGATGGCGGTATTTCTTCGGTTTTCCTCTGTGCGCCTTTTAACACCAGTTAATCATATAAAACCCTAAAAATGTTTGATGCTGAAGTGAAACCTGCTAAATATTGAATATTCCTGAATATACTGTATATCTGATATGGACAACAGTGTATAGGAATGTAATTAAAAAGGTGTGGAATATATTTGATATCATTGTCAGCCTTATTGAGTAATTTAATAAGTTAAAACATCCCAATATATTTTACATTTGGACCAATGAAAGTTAATAATTAGGTGTTTTTGTGAAGAAAGCTTGTGGACACCTGCTCATCCAGCGTTTCTTCTGAAACAAAGGAGATTAGTAGTGAGTTTGTTCCCTCTTTGCTGCAGTGCCAGCTTGTACTCTTCTGGGAAGGCTTTACACTAGATGCTGGAACATTGCTGTAGGGATTTGATTGCTCGCAGCCACAAGAGCATTAAGGAGGTAAGGTACTGATGGTGAATGATCAGTTCTGGGTCACAGAGGTAAGTGACATTGCTCCATCACTCCAAAGCAAGTAAGTACTAAGAACATGTACTCATACTAGTACTCTGTCAAAAAAAATGGTATCAGTGCATCCCTAGTTTTAAGAAAATGATTGGTAGTGAAATGAGTGATGGAATTTTTTTCTCTCTTGGGCCAATAATTTCATAAATCTTTTTTATTTTTAACTAACAATAGCCACACAGAAGAAATGCTTGTAACATACCTTATAAAGGTATGGTTAAAGTAAAAAAAAACAAAAAAACATGTCAACACATATTTTGATGTCTTATTACCAACCTTGTCTGAGCTTATTGGTTCAACATTAAAAGGTAAGTGTTGTCCTTATTCGGTCATGTTAGTTTGTATATTTGGACCTCAACAGATGCACCTCAAGGTAGCCGAATTAACTAAATAGAAGAGCCGTCTGGATACATTGGGGACCCTGAGCTCCACATGGTCTCCAGCTCATTCGTCCGTGAGCCCCTGTGGCCACCTGTACCTGCAAATTCTAGCTGTTTACTACAGTCTAGAATTAGTGTTGCTGTTAGCTAAAAGTATGCGACTGTTCTGGTTAACGTGGTTACGCGTTGTTTGTTGTTTTATACATATATATTCATTTATATTTTATATATGGGGTATGAAATTAAACATGGGTTGGAGGAGCAATATTTTTGGCCCATTTATCATAGAATTTTGAAACAACATAAAGGTCAACTGGCTTTTTCAAATTATCTCAAAAAATGTAAAACATGATCTTAAAAAATAAAAAATGGAGGTATGAGGTTTTGGCCTGATAGCAACAATATATAAAATATAAAACCTTGGTCCCGCAGGACCCTGGGCATGGTTCATGAAACCCCCAGGACCCCCAGCCTTGCATGTTTTTGATTTATGTGTTTTCCTGCTAAAACACACTCACTCAGGAAGGGCTTAATTAAGTGAATTAAGCATATTAGTTGGGACTAGGGCAAACAATAAAATGTGCAGGGCAGGGGGTCCCCTGCGACCAGTGCTGGGAACCATTGACCTACATATTTGCTGTTATTTAACCAGGTCAGTCAGTTTGCATTCAATGCTATGCTAGAAAAATTCACTGGAGCGGTTCTGTAGCCTGGTCTGCCAGTGGTTTGATGCTGAAATACGAAATGGCATTCCAAGAATTTTTTAGGGAGGCTATACCAGTATCAGTCCAGTTCCTGTGTTGCCAAGTGGGGCAGTGAGGACACAGTGGATCCAGAGTCCTCAACGGCAGAGGAGGGTTCCACAGTGCTGAATTGGGCTCTGGAGAGCACCTGCAAGCCAGTGGTGGGTTCCACAGTATCGCCCAGATCTCCAGAAAACACCAGTGAGACAGCACAGGGTTCCACGACTCCACCCAGTGTTACTGAGAATGCTGGTCTGTTGATGCCTGCCCTCAGGGCTCTGCCCGGTGTTATGGAGAGTACTCACCCATCTGCCGTCAAGGCTCAGCCCAGCGCTCCATAGAGCACTGACCAGTTAAAACATGCCTTCATCACCCCCAAGCTGCAACGCCAGAGGTGGCTCACCAAGACACCTCGTCAGTGGTGACTCCAAGATCCCCGTTTCCTGTATTGGCTCCTGGAGCTGCCACTCCAGTGCTGGTCTTCGTTCCAGCTCCATGCAGGGCTCCAGTGCTGGGCCCACGCAAGGCTCTTGTTCCTTCAGGCTGCCCCAATTCTGGTTCTCCAGGCAGCTCCCGTGCTGCCTCCCTGTCCTGATCCAGTGCCGGCTTCCTGAGCTGCTGCTCCACCTGAGGTGCTTCCGTGTGCAGGCTACCTGTGCAGATTCTCTGTTCTCTTCCCAAGCTGCTACTTTTCCAGTGCTGATTCCCTGTGCATCTCCTGTGATGGCTCCCTGTCCTTATCTGGTGATGGCATCTCCAGCTGCTGCTCCTTCTTTGGTGGTCCCCTGTGCAGCTCCTGTGCTGGCTGCCTATCATCTTCCGATGCCAACTTCCTGAGCTGCTCCCTGTCCTGCTTTGGTGCCAGCTTTTTGGACTG